AAAAAATGCAACTATATCCCATTGAGTGGCGATGTACCCTACTTTAGTATTTTATTCTGTTTAACGCCAGACGATTTTACTCGTCAAGGGGAGAGCGCTGCACTTAATGGGTTAACTGGCCTATCTGCCCATATGTCTAGTTAACTGGCCTATCTGCCCATGTGTCTAGTTAACCCATTGAGTGGCGATGCACCCTACTTTAGTATTTTACTCTGTCTAACGCCAGACGATTTTACTCGTCAAGGGGAGAGCGCTGGCGCTTAATGGGTTAACTGGGGAGAGCGCTGGCGCTTAATGGGATATAGTTGTCTGGCAAGAATCAAACCTGCGGCTCTGCTATTTCAGTGCAGTACTCTAGCCAACTGAGCTATATAACTCAGGCCAGTTGTTAAATAAGTTCATAATATTATATAGGTTACTGCCATATTAGGTTATTACTGTAGGTAGTACATATATATATATATATATATATATATATATATATATATATATATATATATTATATATTATATATATATATATATATATATATATATATATATATATATATATATATATATATATATATATATATATATATATATATATATATATATATATATATATATATATATATTCCTGCCAGGGACCTATATTTGCATTTTTTGCAACTGTTCCTGTTTAAGTGTAATAAATATATATAAATTTCCACTCGATAATTTCCATTGACAAGACCCACAATATAGTATGTATGGCACGACAGTAAAGTGTTGTACAACATTTCACACAGTAAAGCATGGCTCAACAATATGCACCATGCCGTGCCTTACTGTAGTGTGTAGTACATACTGTATCATACAGTATCTCTGTATTGTACTTACTGGTTCCTGATACTTTTAATATTGTGTTCTGCCAAACTGTCCTGTACTATGCGGTTCTGTATTATATATATACTATATTGTGCGGCCATGCATACATTATTTTGCCCTATACTGTATTGTGCCATGTTTTGTTTTCTTCTGTTTTGTGGTGCCATCTGTGCGAGCCATACTATACTAGAGCATGCTTCTCTCTGTCATACTGTACTGTTTTATAATGTACTGTAATGTATTGTACTACTCTGCCATACTGGCATGTCTTGGGCTGTGGTACTGTACATTATAAAACAAAAGAATACAGAATGGCAGAATAAAGTGTAGAGCAACACCACAATATATTAAATATACATGGCACCACAATATAGTATAATACAGCACCACACAGTAGTGTCAGAGTGAGTACACCAGTGCACCAATCAGTGCAGTATGTTGGCAGAACACAATATTGAAAGTATGCAACTAACCAGTCAATTTAGACATATAGGATGCACTACACATTACAGTAAGGCACTGCACAGTGCAGTTTTTACAAAAGTAGCAGGTAGCACACTATTATAGAACAGTGATTGCAACAATATAAAAGCCAGATAGTAAACATGAAAGTATAATTGTATAAAAAAGCTTACAATGAGCAGTCAATAGGGCCCATTATCAAAAGATCGTATTATATCAAGAGTACTTACTTCCAGAGAGATTAAAATTGTGTTTCTCGCAGTGTGATTTTTTGTCCAACTTGTTGCATATTTCGCCGTACACGGACATATCACAAAATATATGAAATCTACAAATCGTTTAGTTGTTTACATTTGCCAAGGAGACGCAAAGTGCCGGGAATATTTCCCCGGTAGTTAGTTAGGAATCTGTCCAATTAGCATCCAGTATTCAACAAGAGTTCAATTTCCCGACCGGGATAATTATTTTCCCGCTCTTTTTTTCAATTTTTTGTTGAGATTTTGTACTTCAGGTTTCAGCACAAAATTTTCTTGATTAAATGTGGATTTTTTACAGAAAAATGCTAGAAGAGTACCGGTGTTCTGGTTTAGAATATATATTTGAAGGTAAGGTTGTGTCTTATGGACTTATAAGGTAAGGTTGTGTTCTTATGGACTATATTTTTGGTATATTGCATTCAATTTTTTTACAAACAAGCCTGTGGCGGTTTCGCGTTTCAACAGGCTGAACACACGGCGACTGTCCAGGCTGTCAACATTTAAAATCTTTCTAGTGCAGATTGGAAGAGTATTTCTTTCTTTTAAGACTGAAATGGACCTTCAGCAACTTTTACATGATGCGCCAGGCGAGTTTGTCCAGAAGGAAGGCAGTCTTTCTTGAGAAAGACGGTTCAAAGACCAAGAGTCCAAGTATTATTCAAAATAGCAGTTTACCCCACTGTCAAATAAACCAGGGCGAAATCTGCCCTGTTTTTCATAAAAATTATCTTCTGTTTGTGTAAAAATTTATAAAATGCAATACATTTATAGTCAAAAGAGAACAACCTTTGAAACGTGATGAAGGTTTTATATTTTAGAATCTGATATAAGTTTTTTATATTATTCAGTAGAAGAAGAATTGGTCATAGCTTTCTTGGTAGTGATGGCTCGAGCTTCAAATAATTAAGTGAAAAACTATTATTTTTATCCACTGTAGAGTATAAAGCTATGGTATCTTATGGGGCCAGCTGGATATGTATTCCCTTGCAAATTTTTCCTTTTTCTCCCACAAAGATTTCACCTTTTTTTCCTTGTTTTCCCAACTTTATGGTCCCTTGTTTTTTTTATCATTTTTTTTCTTTGAATTCTGATTACAAAATATGCATTGTTCTCTGGTTTCCTAAAACCAGCCCTGGGAGACCCTCAGTACAGTCTCACAATTATTTGGTGTTAAGAATTTTAGGACCCAAAGGCAACTGACAATGGTTTCTTCATATTCCATTTCAGAACCATGAAAAACTAGTTTGCTATAAATATTATAATATGAAATAAGTTCCTCTATGAACATTGCCAGGTTTTTGCGGCTATGAATACTCCAGTCACAACTTAGAAAACCAATAGTAAAATGTGTCTTAGACGTAGTACAAGCTTCACATTTGCCATGTGGTAAATGCTTATTATTTCATACTATTGTTCCCAGTAAACTGCGAAATGACCGTTTTTTAGGCGCTTTGTCAGTGACGGTTTTGTCAATTGCAAAGGACATATTTTTGTACCACGCGATTGCAATTATTTGCAAGCGGCGTGTGAAAAACTGCAAGTTTCAGTTTGACATTTCTGGCAGTTGAATGGTTTATAATTTTATTGTCCAATCAGATGAATTTGAATTTTAAATCATCTGATTGGACAATAAAATTGTAAACCATTCAAGTGCCATAACTGTCAAACTGAAACTTGCAGTTTTTCACACGCCGCTTGCAAAGAATTGTAATCGCGTGGTACACAAATATGTCCTTTGCAATTGACAAAACTGTCACTGACAAAGCGCCTAAAAAAACGGTCGTTTCGCAGTTTACTGGGAACAATAGTATTGTAGGTTGATACTAGCATGCCAAGACACTAGGAAAAGAATCATAGCCTGGATATGGATTATATGGTCATGATGATGCCTATAACTGGCCATTCGAAACCGATTATCTTATATCAAGATCTTGAGTTGGTTTGATGTCGATAAGTGTCAACTATGTCATGCTGTATAAATAAATTCATCAAAAAAGGATCACCATCGAAAAAGGGTCACCATCAACAGATTCTGGGCGAATGTAATGACAGGCACTTTATTTATTTGCTGCCTACATGCAACATTATTTCTTTAGCAAGGGGGTCTACTGTATATATTGATTAATTTAATACAGTCTTTGTTTTTTCCCTATCCTTGTCTCATTGTACATGCCAAAGCTGCCTCTCTTTGACAAGTAAAATTTGTGGTGTGAGGCAATCAAGTATTATTGCCACACAGCTGGTAGTAATAAACAGAGCACCTTGCCTGTAATGAGCTAACAAACCGCAACATAATTCCTACTTTTCAATTTCAAAAATCCAGGGCAAATTACAATCCATAAGGCTATAATGCATATGGCTTAATGTAATCTACAGTACTTTGTCAGTTTACTGTGTCTATATATACAAGAAAATTTACTTGTCAAGGGAGAAATGTTGGGCATTAATGAGTTAATTTCAGTAGTAATTCGGCTGAGATGAAATTATTAATTCAATTGAATGCAAGATTAGGAAATATCTTGCTTCGTCTGTTACTATAATCAGGATGATATCATATGTAACTAAAGGTTCAAGGTACTGTACTGTACATTTACTGAAGTCCTAACATTGTAATAGTACTTGTTGTCTTTGACAAATGTATGTGGACATTTAAATTTGACAGTAACTTAATGTGTCAATGATGCATGGTTTAAAATCAAGTTGTAGAACTTTATTTCTTGAAATACATGGCTATAGTTGGTATAAAATATATTTCACAGAAAACTTTCTCGCGTACGTTTTGTATTAGATGAAGCAGTTGACTTAGTATTATTAGACTGATTGCTAGGTTTCTCGATACTTCCCCGTTTTACGAACACTGTTAATTTGAAGGAGTAGATACTACTCCAAAAAAGGAGTAAAAAAAAAAGGTACCAGTTGACTCTGTTTTGGGAGTATTTTTTACTCCATCATTTTAACTCCACTTTTAGAGTACTTTCTACCTCACTAATGGAGTAATATTTACTCCAACAGGAGTAATAAATGCTCTAATTTAAAATTTTACTCTCATTTTGGAGTCAAAAATATACCAAAAGTGGAGTAATATTTACCCTCACAGGAGTAATAAATACTCCAGTTTAAAATTTTACTCGCATTTTGGAGTCAAAACTATACCAAAAGTGAAGTAATATTTACCCTAACAGGAGTACTAGATACTCTAGTTTAAAATTTTACTCTCATTTTGGAGTCAAAAATATACCAAAAGTGGAGTAATATTTACCCTAACAGGAGTACTAAATACTCTAGTTTTACGCTCATTTTGGAGTTAAAACATATACCAAAAGTGGAGTATATTTTATTCCTTATGAGTTATGGGGGTGTAAATTACACTAAAAATATGAACAAATAGTAAAATTGCAATGAATAAAGGAAGAAAATTTTAATTAACATAACACTTTGATCATAAGTACAAGGATTATATATGTTTTGCTGGTTCGCTTACCCTGGTTCCAGAGGCTCTTTGCAAGGCGAAATAAACGAGAGGCGAGAAGGAAGAGCCTCCGGTCACATTGGTTGCAAATTCCACTTCCACACTTGGTTAGGTTCAGAATTTCAATCTCCCATGTGATTGGCCATTTGTAAAAATATGTCAAACCGGTTTGGGAAATAAACAAGGTAATTATAGCTATAATTAGCTTACAGTAATGTTGTTTCGCCTCGCAAAGAGCCTCTGGAACCAGGGTAGTTAACGCTATAAAAATTGCTGTTTATATGCATGCAGTAAGTTGCAAAAGATTTGTTCGACCTAACTAAGTTAAAAAAAAATTCTTACAAATTCTTTTAAAAATTAAAGTCCTTACAAATTATTTTACACTTAGTCGTAAAATTAGTCAATTTGCCCATTCTGCAAAATTAATTCCCACGTGATGACAGAAACTTTGATAGTGCAGCCTTCAGGTATAAGTACAAAAATTTACATGCATTCAATTACAAGTATACTAATACTGCATGTTTACTAGCAACATGAATGATGCAGAACACGTAGCTCGGTTAATTGTTAAAATGTTATTCAAGTTCTTGCAAATATTTTTTGATTGCAACCCTTTTTTAGCTACCCTAGTTCTCTGCATCATCGCAGCTTCCAAAAACAGGAATACATTTTCGCTTGACAGTTGACACAGGGTATTCTGGCAATATTGAACACTTAATAGCAACTTACAAGATGTGCCAGGCAACGCATTCTCAATTGTTATTGAACTGTTCGATTTCATCAGAATCTTGCCCTCTCTAGCGATGTACAATGGCTTTACATCACCGGACGTGACCAGCCCCCACAACTCTTGGTGCGACTGATGCTTCAATGGCATCATCAATAGATTTGTCACCCTGTTTGAAATTGAATATAAGCAAAATCAGATTTTATAGTAGATGGACATTGGACAACAGGTCTATCTCTTTGGGGGTGACATGGGTACTGCTTCACTCAGACATCCCAGTTAAAAGGAAGTTGTACTAAAGTCAATAATGTATACAGTAAACATTCATATTTCCACTGGAGGTTCCCAACTTATCCAAAAGCCAGAACCAGCTAATTGGTTGCCAAAGCTAGCTACAGTATGCTACTGTTACAAGTTGGAAAAATGACAACATTGTATCCATACAGTAGGGCTTGATGGGCGGGAATTACATTGAGATGCCAAGGATGAAGCATTCAAAAGGGGAGAGTCTGCCTTAGATGCAGGGCATGAGCTTCTTCCAGTACAAGGGGCAGAATTACAGTCGGATACTGGGATTGAAGGATCAACCTGTAATATTGTAAAAGTAGATTTAAATAACAAATCCTTTATAATAGCAGTGTTTTATACCTAATAAAAATTACCATAACCCATAAAAGGAGCAACCAGACATTTAATTTTAAACCTCTGCCTAATTTCAATAAATGACAAACTTTCATGATACCATGTATGATAAAAATTAGGGGCCGATTACATGGAGCATTTTCAACCCCAGGGTTAAACTCAGCCCTGTTTACCAGGTTGAAATTTCAGCCTTGTCTGTAATACAAAACTCTATCAAAATCAAACGCACGATTACATGACAAAATTTTCAACCCAGGGCTGAGTTCAACCCCGGGGTTGAAATTTCAACCCTGCTAATTTCAACCCTGCTTCAGCTAGCAGGGTTAAAATCTCAACCCCGAGGTTGTAATTGTTTCAACCCAGGGTTGAAATTATCATGAGTTATTCGAGCATGCATGGTAGTGACTATTTATTACAAGAAAACAAAATGAAGGCTTTTTTTACCTCTGGGAATTGATGCCGAGAACGTATAGTATAGCATGCTTGTGTCATGTTACTCTGAGTGTATATCTACATCAGGCAGGCTTGAAAAATATGCCTGGCCACGGTGGCCAGAACCGACCTGACCACGTAGCTCAGTTGGCAGAGCATAGCCATTGTGCTAGTATTCCAAAGGTCGTAGGTTCGATTCCCACCGTGGTCAGCCATATTTATCAAGCCTGCCCAGTGTGGATATACACTCAGAGTAACATCACACAAGCATCTTATTCACCTGAGTACATTACACCAACACAGAAAATATCATGATTATTAGATTACACTGATATCGAAGGAACTAGACTCAGTTCCGAAATACCGCATACTCGAACCGACCTGACCACGTAGCTCAGTTGGCAGAGCATTGGGCTAGTATTCTAAAGGTCGTAGGTTCGATTCCCACCGTGGCCAGGCATATTTTTCAAGCCTGCCCGGTGTGGATATACACTCAGAATAACATCACACAAGCATCTTATTCACCTGAGTACATTACACCAGTATAGTATAGCATTTCAATCCCGGGGTTGAAATCGTCCATGTAATTGCAAAAAACATTCAACCTGGTTAACAGGGCTGAGTTCAACCTCGGGGTTGAAAGTTCTCCATGTAATCGGCCTCTTACAATTCCTTATTCTGGACTTGTAACCGGCCATGTTGGTCCCCATTTCAACAAGAGAATCTCATTTCTATAGAATGGTGGCCATGTTGGTCCCCAAATTCAATTATCTGTTAATTGCCAAAGGATTGCATGCAAGTCAAGAATACATAATTAGATGCCTTTAATTGCAATTATAATTTACCTGATTTTTATATCTTTGTATAGCAATCCTTAATTTGACAATCTGCCCTCCTTTTGAAACCAATTCTTTTAGCAAGACATCACTATAGTCTGCCATGAAGCAACTCGATTGTGCAGGGCTATTAAAATATTAAAAACAACCATTATTTGTCTATAAAATTAGGGACCGCGGAGACGGGGGGGCTGGGGGGGCTTTAGCCCCCCCACTTTTTTTGACAGCCAAAATTATTAAAATAGAAATCTAAATGAAACTTTCTAAATTAATTAATTGGGGGTTTTATTGATGATTTAGCCCCCCCCCCCACTCTCTAATACGCTCCGCGGGCCCTGAAAATGTGACTGTTTAATTTTGTAAAATAGCTGCCATTGCATGCAGTCCCCACACCTCACCTCGGTTGGTATTTCGGTACAAATAAAACACTAGCAGGACTGTGACCAGACATCACAATCAGACTTGGATCCACATTTATATGAACAATAAACATTGTACTATTGCAGAAATCCAGTGCAGTAGAAATCATATTTTCATCATTTTCAACATATTTCGGTGCTTCCAGGGAAATTTCATGGTATTTAAGGAAATTTCACAAGGAAAAGAGGGAATTTGAATGTGAAAGCAAATGTGATTTGAAAATTTAACGAACGCAAATCAGACTATCATTCTCATAGCCATATATCATTGAAAATGTCATAAAATGATTTGTTATACTTTAAGTTTAACATGTTGTTATAGCTATCTCAGTATGTGAATATGTGATCGATACCCCGTCTTCTGTTAGCTTGTCTAGAACATATTAGCCGACTCCTGCCGGCACTCAATATAAAACACTCCGCTCAGATAATTCTAGGCTCATTGATGTTGCTTAAAACGAATAAAATGTCTTTGGATTAAGAAGAATATTAAGGAAATCATATATTTGCGGCATACCATAGTTATAATAAAACCCTAAATCACTAAATTATTTTTTATTATGGCATATTTTATAGACGGGCACCGCCGCACCGATCCTTCCCATAAAAACAAAATAAACTTCACAGTACCTCTAAATCTGAATCCATTTCTTCTCTGTGTACTGTTTCTTGAATATATTTGACAAAACGGAGAGAATGAAGCTCAAATTTAATGTTTTAAAACGGCAAAACGCATTAAGCACATATTTCCAGCCTTGCTTTGGTGAACACGAGGGAAAAAAGATTGAATATGGCGCGCGCGATGCGTATTGGGTTCGTATTGTCACGTGATGTTAAAAGAGGCGCATGATTGGATGACCAATCAAAGGCTAAATAAATCAAGTTTGCAGGAAAGTGTAAGATACGATCTGGATTTAAGTTAATCATCTACAAATGCATAGATTTCCCTGGTTCCAGAGTCTCTTTGCGAGGCGAAAGAAACGATAGGCGAGAAGGAAGAGCCTCTGGTCACATCGGTTACAAATCCCACTTCCACACTTGATTAGGTTCAGAATTTGAATCTCGCATGTAATTCGCCATTTTGTAAAAAAATATGTCACACCGATATGAGAAATAAATGAGCTTACAGTAATGTTTATTTCCAAATTTTCTCATTTTACTCCTTTATGAGAGTTGAATTGACTCCTAGAAATGCATTACTTACTCCAGGATGTTTACTCCTTTTTTGGAGTGAAAATAAAGGAGTAAAAATACAATAATTACTCCGATATGTCTATTCCTTTTAAAGAGTAAATTTTACTCCTTTATGAGAGTTGAATTGACTCCCAGAAATGCACTACTTACTCCGGTATGTTTACTCCTTTTTTGGAGTGAAAATAAAGGAGTAAAAATACAATAATTACTCCGATATATCTATTCCTTTTAAAGAGTAAATTCTACTCCTTTATGAGAGTTGGATTGACTCCTAGAGCAGTAAGATTGGAGTTAAAGTTACTCCTGGAATAAAAATAAAGGAGTAAAAAGTACTCGAATATTTGTACTCCTTTGCTGGAGTATATTTTATCCCTGCAATGGAGTAATATTTACTCTCAGTAGAGTAAAAGTTTTAATGTGAACTGAAGTGGAGTAGTTTGAACTCTGGTTTTGGAGTGAAATATACTCTAGTTTCTTTACTCCCCAAAAGGGAGTTATTTCAACTCTTACGGTGGAGTTAAAATTACTCCCTAGAATTAACAGTGAAGTAATTGCATTACGTCGTTAGAAAGCGTTCCGCGTAAACTCTAACGCTCTAGGCAGATTTTACCTCGTTTTTTAATTATTTCTACGCAATTTTTAATGTTATGAAAACTGAGTGATGTTTTTTCATGGTTTTGGTTTTCATAACATTAAAAATGTGTAAAATAATTAAAAAGATGAGGAAAAGTCTTCAAGAGTGCCGGTTTAACTCCTGAAATGGAGTTAAAATGATTTAACTCCTGAATAGGGGTTATATCTTAACTCCAATATGAGAGTTAGATTAACCCCAAAAGTGGAGTTACATTTTAACCCCAGAAATGGAGTTATTTTTAACCCCCAAAAACGGATTATTTTGAACCTTTTTTGCTAACCCCCTTTTCCGGAGTTATTTTAACTTCCTGAAAATAACAGTGTGGTATCTACGTTTAAGATAGTGTTTAAACGAGTTTGGATTACGGAAAATGTCAGGTGAGACTTCTTGGCACACTGTGTTCCAAATCTTTACAACACAATTGTAGTATGAAGTCGACTGGAAAGTATTAGTTTTTCAGAGTTTATTTTTAAGGATATATCTTGACATATGGCTCAGTCTAGTGCGACCATGACTCACAAACGACACAGTTAAGGCCCTGTCACACTATTGCGTATCGTACTAGCGTATGCCAGCGTATGAATAATATCACTCACACGCCAGTATACGCTGACATACGCTAGAGGTACGTTAGGAATAGGTTGCATACGTTTCAAGTACGGTGGCATACGCTGGCATAAGGCGAGGCAGAAAATTTTTTGAAGCATGTTCAAAAATTTTGTGCGTATCGTACGTATGCTTTATACGATAAGCATAATCTAAGCACACGCTGAATACGTTAGAGGTACGCCAGATGTACGGTACTCATACGCTGGCATTTCAAATGATTTTTGTGCGTATGAAAATTATTTCATTAATTTTCATACGCTTCTCATACGTTTCTCTCATACGCAATAGTGTGACAGGCCCTTTATCGATATTGACGTCAATGTAACTAAACAAGATTTGAAGAAATACACTAAGTCTCTGACTTCTCGATCATAGGTTAACGGTAGCAGATCTAATGCTAATAACCGTTCTCTGTACTACAGTTCGCCTCGCTTTGTCATTGTTGTCGACCTAGTCGCTCTTCTTTGCACTTTTTCAACACGTCTTAAGATCTGGACGCTGTTAACCGGCGACCATACCTCTGTAGCATAACACAGCTGGGACTTGACCAACGATAAATATAAAGTTCGTGTGGCTTTCATGTCCATCAATTTGGTACAAGTTCTTCTAAGTACGCCTAATATTTTGTTGGCCTTCGCGACGAAGATGTTCGCGTGAATGTCCCAATTAAGTTTTGACGCGGTGGTAATTCCAAGATCTTTTTTGCTATCTACTCGAGTCAGGTTTTCGCTCGCAAGAGTGTAGTCATGAATGATAGGATTTTTCTTTCTGGTGATGGTGAGAACTTTGCACTTAGAGACGTTGAAGCGGAGGTTTTCCATAGGAGGATCGTGTGATCTGCAGAGTCGAATGCCTTGGCAAAGTCGAGGTACAATACATCAGTCTGAGTGTTTCTGTCTAGATCTTGTCGATGACCTGGAGGACAGACAGGAGTTGGGTGACGCATGACCCTTTTTCTGAGAAAACCGTGTTGGGATGGACTGATGAGGTGAGCAACATGGTCATAAAATATTGAGTAAACGCAGCGTTCCAGGATCTTGTTATAACGAGATTGGCCTATAGTTATCTGCTGGTTCTTTCGACTCTTTTTTATGTATGGTGGTCAGATTTGCCGATTTACACTCCGATGGAATAAAACCAGATTTGAGAGAGGCGTTGAAAAGGACACACAGGCTTGGGGCAATTTGTTGATGACATTCTTTCAGAAGCCGCGCAGGAATACCGTCAGAACCGCTTGCTTTTGTCATTCCTAGATTGGCCAGGTGGTTAGAGACTTCTTCCTCGTCAACCGTTATTTATCTAAGTTGTAAGTCGGTTTTTAATTGAGAAGAAACGAAGGCATGACTCCTAGGATGGTTAAATTGTAAAGATTTGAAAACGGAAGAGAAATATGAGTTAAAGAGTTCAGCTTTTTCGGCAGACGTTTTGCCACTTTGCCTTTGTAGGAGATGACGGTATTGAGAGTCGATATATGATGAAATATGGCCTTATGATAACACCAAAAAGATTTCGGGTTATCGCGAAACGAGTCCTTAAATTAATCTAGATAATCACGATGTTTTCTTCTCACTAGATATTTTGTTGTTTGGCTTAGTTTGCGTAGTTTCCGTTTTCTATGATCAGTTCGACATTGTCGATATTTTTTAAAGCTACGTACTTCTTTCGGATATGTGATCTTACTTCACCATCAATCCAAGGTGCTGAGTACGTGCCCTTAACTGCTTTTGTTGGGATGAATTTATCTACTGCATTGAAAAACCAATTTTTCCATTGTATCCAGCATTCATTAATGTTGTTAGTAAAGACTGCCTGGAATGGTTCCTGTATTAAATTACTACGAAGATCATCAAAGTTCCCACGGTTGAAGGCGAAGACATTACGCGAAACAGGATTGGCGCGACAGAAAGTTTGCTGATTTTGAAATTCTATGACGTGATGGTCCGTCGGGAAGTTTAGTTGCTCAGTTGAGACTGTTGAAATATTTTTGACAATTTCAGGACAAACACATTCTACTATAGGGTCCAATATTCTATTTAACAGAATTTGAGAGGAAAATAAAAGAAACACTAAAAAATGCAATGAATACAGCCATGACTTTGGAGAAATTATACATTAATGCAATAATTCTGCATGAAAACAAGAATTCCTTTTCAAACATGATAAAAATTGGTTAAAAACGTAAGAATAATTACAAATGTGGACAATGACAGATTTCATGTTTTAATAGGAAAATCACATCAAATGCATGTTAAAAATGACTGGAAATATATTTAGCAAAAACATACACATTTTGCAACAATTTTAGCTTTTCCAAGTTGCAATATATGACTAAAATGATACTAAATCTCTAAGAGGAAAAAAATGCTAAAAAATTTGGGCAAAATTTATTGTTTTTAGCAAAGTGAGTAAAAGGCATGTGAATAAAAGGGAAAAAAAGAGGAAAATGTTATAGTTCCAAAACATGTCTGGAGGCAGCCACAGTCAGTGAAAATTATATATCAAGAACAAGGCACATGCCACCTTCGATATATCGAAAACTCTAAACTATCCAATGCTTCGATATACCGGTATCGAAAGAATGCCATTTCTTCGATATATTGAAGATTGCAATTTCCTCGATATATCAAAAGAATGCCATTTCTTCGATATATCGAAAGAATGCCATTTCTTCAATATATTAAAAGAATGCCATTTCTTCGATATATCGAAAGAATGCCATTTCTTGTATATATCGAAAGAATGCCATTTCTTCGATATATCGAAAGAATGCCATTTCTTCGACATATTGAAAGATTGCAATTTCCTCAATATATCGAAAGATTGCAATTTCCTCGATATATTGAAAACTAAACTATCCATTTCTTCGATATATCAAAAGATTGCCATTTTTTCAATATGTCGAAAACTCTAAACTATCCATGGTTTGATACATCAAAGAAATGGCATTGTTTCGATATATCGCAGAGATGACATTCTGTCAAATTCAATATGTGAAAAAACAAAAGGATGTCATGCCTTGCCATTTAACAAGCCATGTTTTAAATATTGATAGTAAAATAACAAAGTAGGGCACAATTCAGCTCAATGGGTTAGCAATATGGTATACACTCAAAATATAACACATTCTACAATAGGGTTGTATATTCTATTTAGCTATAATCAAAATAATCACATGTACAGTCAGGGCCGCCAAGAGGGGGAGGGGGGGGGGAATTGCCCTGGGGCCACACCTTAATAGGGCCCCAACTTGGAGCAAGAGCCTAAAATTGAGTAGGTTCTATAAAGAGCATTTTTGAAATTGAGGGCCACTTGTACAGCACCTCCACATGCAGTCTAGCTAAGGTTTAGTTGGGCCTAGCTTAAAAATAATAATGGGAAGATTTGCCTCGGGCCCCGCAAATCCTCTAGGCAGCCCTGTGTACAGTATAGCTAGCTATATTATTTATACATATACAACAACATATGTATATATCTATATTGACTAAAATCACTTCATTAGACAGTACGGTATACAGTAGTAACAACTAAATTCAGTTTTAAGAGTTTCTTCTGCCCTATAACTATATTGCTTTAGGCAATTTTCCCAAGACAATGCATTTGGACCCAGTAACATGCAGACCACTGCAGATAAACCAATCCCACAGCAGCGATGTGATACATCAAAAGAGTTTATCTTCACAAAACATTACATGGTACTGATTATATACCTTCTTGTATAGCTGTGCTACTGTCAATCTCCTTTATCAGGTGGTCTGAACCCTCTATGGTTAAACCCGGTTCTTTTGTGTTTGATGTACTACAGCATGCAAAAGACAAAAGTGATATCATTTGGTTTACATCAATCTAAAAGAATGGAAAAACTATAAGAACAGACACCATTAAAATGATTACAGTTTTTGCTGCCAATCAAAGAACACAAGAGAATCAGATATATAATGGCATACTGTGAACTTCCGAACATATGCCCTGGGCTTATATTCGTTCGTAAAGATTTTTTGATGGGGGCTTTTGTACAGGAACCATATACTTTTATTGTATCTGTAAACAATGTGAAGTGTGAACCATTGCCTCAGTCAAAACACGTTCATGACCACTGAATATTGAAGACTAGAAGTTATGATCATTCCTATGTTGTACAGTTAAAACACAGACAAGAAGGGATATATATGTATTTTAAAAATGTAAACAATATTCTTTGGACCGCTTCAAACGTTCAAAAAAATCTACCAACCTGATATTCGCACTATCTTGACCATGATCTGGACCTTGGCAGCAATTCAACGCTCTTCCTTCGATTTGATCTTTCGACAGAATCGACTGTTTAGCTTTAATTTTGTTAAATATTTAATATTCATGTTCATTATTTATATCCAAGCACTGTCCTCACAAAGATTTACCATAGTATAGCTATTATATAAACGCTGATATTAATATACGCCGTTGAATGCGATTCGAATCCAAAATTTATAGATATTGTGCGCCAAAGAACGAACAATAACCAACGGTTTATGAAACGAAACACGACGATGTCCATAAAAGGACATAATCGAAACAGCTCGCTTCGAGTTCGGTAAAAATAGTGCCAACATGCTTTGCGCACCGCGACTCTTTGCCTGTCGCCATATTCATATTTGCGAATATTCAAATCGTTTGCTTCTTTATCGCCGGAATATTTGAATCTTTATTACTTCTCAACGCAGGAATACTTAAAGATTAAATCAAGCAAGGTATGTACTACGCAATTGCTATTTATTTCCCCAGAAGAGAGAGTACAATCTCATTATCTCAGGAGTATATTGTAACGGAATTTTATTTTGCTGGTTTACAACTCGTGTATAAAATACATGAGAAAAATTTTGTCTTGAGTTAATACAGTAACAATTCCACAGGATGTTGGCCTCTCTGCAACTGATTTAATTCTTACAAAATAATACAACATTTTTTCTTCGCTTGACAGCTTTTTGATAGTGTAATATTTATAACAATATTTCTTGGGCATCTCACTTGATTGAAGTCATTATAAATAATATTGAATTATGAATGTGAAGAAGTTTGTATATGGTGTAATAAAGAATAGGCTTTTCACATCCAAGCATTGCCAATGGAGGAGTGGGGTGAGGGCACTGAGGGGCAATCCCTACATGTAGCTTCAAATTAAATGTGTACCTTTGTCATTTTAACCTTATTTGTATGGCCTGTTCAAATGAGCCATAATATTAGCATAGAAAATTACATTTTGTTCATGTAAGGAAGCACAAACTATTAGCCCAGTTGGTCAGATCCCAGATTTGTTGAAATGAGAGACCGGGCATTTTAATTTTAATGAAAGCATTGTGAGAATTATCGGAGTTCTATCAATAGGCATAGCATCATTAAGAAAAAGCTAACTGCAACTAGGGTATACAAGGCACTGTTATCAATGTGTCTAATTTGATCCATTGCTGAGGATGACTAAAATATAATCGAAAACTAGAATTACCATTGTGTGCTTTATGAAAATACATAGTGCTTCCCATAATCACCATTCATTAATAATATCAATTCCTCCTTAAGATTATGTTGACGAGGACTATATGTAACAAACCATTCATTGGTGACGATAGATGATCTTCATTCAAGATTCATTATCGGAAAGGAATCATCAGCAAGAAATGGTCTTTTCATTGGCTGATAAAAATGAACCTTGGGCAGATGTATGCCAGGTTGCATATTTCTTGTAGCCTTTGACTTGCATAAGGAAAAGAAAATATATACTGGCACTACATGCTAGATGACGAACTCATTGTTGAAGAACATTTTAGTATTGTTTATATAAAAAAAGAACACTGTAAAGACACTTTGTACTGGACAGAGTAATGTAATAAGTGCAGAGCTCGGCACAGCTAATTTACATTACAATTTGCAGTCTAAATGGTAATAAATGTGATATTTTACATTCATCCAGCTTTACTGTCTTACATTTTGAGGAGCATTACAGTACAAAACTTAAATGTGCCCTACTTGCTTACTGCCATTTCATTATATTACTCTATCTAACAACATATAAGGTTATATTTCATTAAGGGGTTGAGTCTTATTAATAGTTTATTTGTGAATTTATTTAAATATATATCATTTTGATATTGAGCATAATAGTTTTCACCTAAATACATTGTGCTTTATATATTTTCTATTGATGTGTATAATGCTAAATTGAATAGAGTATTATTTTTTGCTAAAATGTGTTGATTTAGGTTATGTTAGGTGTCACTAAGATGGTTTCGATAAATCGAAACATTGACATGGTCTCGATAAATCGAAATATTCACATGGTCTCGATAAATCGAAACATTTACATGGTCTCGATAAATCGAAACATTGACTTGGTCTCGATAACTCGAAACATTCACATGGTCTCGATAAACTGAAACATTCACCTGGTGTCGATAAATCGAAACTTTGATTTAGTTTCCATATATAAATTGATCAGGAATGCCTTTGGTTAAACCAACATATTTCACTGTTAGCTGTCATGCTACTTTTGTATTATTTGATCCTTTTCAGAACAGTCTATTAAATGTATTGTTAATTTTAGGTAAATTTGATTGTTTTAGCAAGAGAAGAAAATTTGCATTCTTTTTTTGCACCAGTGTTTTTAAGCACCAATTTTTCTGTTTTTTTCAGTTTTGGACAAATTTGTTTAAAAATACGAAAATTGGCACCATTTTTGGCTAAATAGAATATTGGACCCTATAGTAGAACGTGTTGACAGTTACATAGCAGAAGATCAAGCATGTTTTCTCCAGTGTGGGTTGTACTTCTGACGAACTGTTGAAAGAAAGTATCACCAACTAAGTCACAGAATGACTCTTCGAGTTGCCCACCGTTAGTTGCGGGAGTTGGTTGATCAAGAGACCAATCGATTGTTGGAAGATTAAAGTCTCCAATAAGGACGATGCATGTAGACTCGGAGGTGTTCTGAAGTGATAAATTCAGATGATGAAAGACATCAGGGCCGGAATCAGGAGGGCGGTAGAAGGTTATAGGAGAGCAGTTTTGCTGTTTTCAGTAGCAGGTTCTATAACAACAAGATCGATGTTCTCGTTTCCAAGATCTAGTCGACGAGTAGCATGCAAATTGAGTTTCACGGCAACCAATACGCCGCCACCAATCTTTCCTACTCTGTCTCGAAGGAAGATGGAGTACCCGTGTAACAGTTCACTGCTTAAAACAGATTCATTCAGCCATGTCTCACAGATGCATACAACATCGTACGTCGCACTGTAAACTAAATGTTGCAGTAGAGTAATTTTACATACTTTGGACAAATCTTGATCATATTAATCTTGATAATATAAGCTCCAAAAATTGAAGCTTATATTACTTATTATATCATACCTAACATAAATATGTTGCGAAATTGATAATTTTGTAATTAAAAGTGTTATTTTTAGGCGATTTTTTATTTGTAAGAATATTCTTAAAAAATTGTCGTGTTACCATGACAACCACTTTAGATACTTCATGTTCGGAAAATACAATGGTTTTGTCAGCAAGGCGAGGGTTTCTGCATGCATGTATTTTCTAGTATTAATTTACTTATCATAAAAATTGAACACAGTTATCGTTATTAATCACTTTCCGAGGTAAGACTGTAAACAGTAACAATGCAAAGCATGACGGTTGACACTCATTCTTTAAATACATCTCAGTTGCACAGTTTCCAACTTTCAAGTCAAGGATTGAATATGGAACAACTTCAATCAAAGTATACTGCTATACATAGCAATATACAATCAACCGTATGGAATATAAATTATAAATTATGTACTAGGTACAAGCCAATAATATTTTCCTGTATAAAGAAGACGACTGAAAACAAGTTAAATACCTGGGATACCATCAACAGTAAAAACATGCTTAAAAACAACAAATTCCAAAGCTTTGCTTGGGTAAACTTTGTTATACATAATTTGATGTATGTTGTCAGCCAAGAATGCACAGACATGTTTTTTGAGAAAGCTTTAAATCACATGGGCTGTTTTATTAAGCATGCTAGCATATATAATCAGGCTAAACAAAATGAGTTGGCCTAGCATTCCTTGCAAGCAAATTGTATCAAATTAATAATATTTATATGTAAATAAATTTACCGTCTATAGTAAAAATCTTTCTTACATACCGGTACCATAAATAGCAGAGTTCTCGATTTTACCATTTGCGGAATGTTTGTCGACAATCAAGAAGTCAAACACGTAGTTGAAGTAGTTGAACCCATAGTTTTTCAGTCCTACAACGATCGAAAAGAGAAATATTCGTGAAATATTGCAAACTAATTGTGATGAACTCACTTTTCCAATATGCGTACTGACGTTGAAAGTTTTAAACACAAATTTAACCACAGAATCCCTCTCTCGGGCAAATAAATAGAGTTTATTTTCATGTTTGATGTCTCAAAATAAATTGTTGCGCGCCATTTTGAAATTTAATGGGGGGGAGGAGGGGTGACTGCCTCTAGTCACTTGCTAAGCTATGCGCAGTACGGCATGCGCAGTGACGAAGCCTTTACGCTTTTTGTAATGAAGTCGGACATCTAGTCCTGTTAATCTGTGGCAAACGGTTAAATCTAGTCTACAGAACTTTAGTTGTCGTCCGAAGATTGTCTGTAAACTCAGGCATGAAACTATGAGTAACAACGTTTGTTTTGTACTTTATTTCATAAATAATTATGTACACCAATAATATGCAAATATTACAATTGTGATAACTAATTAAGCTTAGTGATAAACAAAGAAGTCACTGTTGCACAAAATCATGACTATCATTTAACCCTCCCCGATTAGTCAAAAGGGTTCCAATCCAGAAGTTTCACATTCCAACAGATTACCACAACGGTGATCAATCAGCATAAATTTCAAATATGAATGATCAGCCCCGTGGCAATCCAGGAAGTGATTAACAATACTACAAGTTCTGTGCCTACGCTTAATGTGTGACTTGTAGTTCGCAAGGCGGGCCTTAAAATTAACAGTAGAACCAACACCTTGCAAACCAAAAGCCAAACGTTCGGCAAGATATACCACTCCCTTGGACGTACATATAAGCGATTTACAGGTTTTAAAAACTTTCGTGGTAATGACGGGACTCTTCCTTGGAGCATATCCTACATTGTCTAAGCGCTACACCCTTTGCGATGCCCAGTATCTGTGATCTGGGGTGACACGAATTACCATTAAGATATAAATGCGCATCGGTGGGTTTACTCTAAACCAAAGTTTCCAAACGACCTTCTTCAATCGTAATAAAGAGGTTCAGAATAATACGTTCGAATGAATACAGTAAAATTGGCTGCAATTTACAAAGAAGGTGAGATGGCGGGCATTCTTTCATTCTCATGATGAACCAGGGACACGCGAAGAAAACATTTTGAATTCACCCAGACGAAAGTCGACAAAAGATCCTCCATTGGCTGGAGTTCCTGCAATTGAAGTTGTTCTCGGCCGTGTTGAGAAAGATCTGTTTAAAAAAAAGCGTTTAAGAATGTTCCCGATAATATATCACCGGAAGAAAAAAAGGCTTTGAAAGATTTTCGTTCTACACCAGTGGAGAAACGCAATTCGGTTATACGAATACAAGATAAAGGTAACAATTTGTGTTTTTGAACAGTGAATTAGATCAGAGTAAAGTGAAGGAACAGATGGACCGGAGTGCTTTTGAAGTTTTAAGCGAGGATCCTTCGCAAAAAACTATTGTAGGAATTGACAAGTGGGTAGATAAGTGGAAGCCTTGGGGATTATCAGATAAGTGGATTGAATTTATTACTGAGAATACCAATGGTCACCAGGGTGTGAATTATTCCTTGATAAAAAACACATAAGGTCAACAACCCAACTAGAGTTATAACTTCTGGCTGTGGTACTCCCACCGAAAATTTGTCTCTGTTTGTGGAAAAGTATTGTAAAGTTGTAGTGGATTCCATTTCTTGCCGAGTAAGGGATACTTCGCACATGCTGGGGATAATGATAGTCTCAATGAAAAGGAATATTAGACGGAGACATGTTGGTGAGTTTTGATATTATCAAAATGTTTCCTTCTATAGATAATGACACGGGGGTAGAGAGAGTGCGTCGCAAATTAACGGAATTCTCTGATAGTTTGGATATGCCTGTTGAATGCATTATATTGAGGCATTACAAATTTGTTTGAAGAAAAATTGTTCTACTTACCGTGGACAATTTTGGCTGCAAAAGAATGGTACAGCTATGGGACCTAAAAATTCTTGTTCCTATGCAGATATTATGGCGGAGAACATCGATAAAAACGTTTTAGAGTCTAAGGCGCTGTACCCTGAATTGCGATCCTGGTTTCGTTTTTGGGACGACACATTTGCACATTGGCGTGGTACGGTGTAAAGACTGCACAGTTTTTTCAATACATTAAATTCATTCGACACATACACTATTTACAATTTACCATGGAAGTATGCGGGAATTCTTTGAGTTTTCTGGACCTCTTTATTACGATCGAAGAAGGTCGTTTGGAAACGTCGGTTTATAGTAAACCCACCGATGCGCATTTATATCTCAATGGAAATTCGTGTCACCCCAGATCACAGATGCTGGGCATCGCAAAGGGTGTAGCACTTAGACTACGTAGGATATGCTCCAAGGAAGAGGACTTTCGTGCCAAAAGTGCGGAATATGCCAATTATTTAATTGAATGCGGACACGAAAAAGAGCATGTCTTAGATAAATTTAGAGAAGTAGGTAATATTTCTAAGGAAGATGCAGTACGTAAAAGTAAGAAAAAGTCCAATGAAGGATATTGTTGTTTAGTTATAGTAGGTATAATCCGCGTGGACCAGACATACGAATTAAAATCATATATAAACATCACAAGTCTATTATCTGTTGTGATGAGAAGGCTAGAGATATTCTACCCGAGAAGGTTATTCGTGTGTCTTTTAAGTGCAGCGCCAATTTAAAAGAGTTTTTGGCTCCCTCCAACCCATATCGTAAGGCAAATACCGAAGTAGAACACTTCGGTTGTTTTAATTGTACAGCAAAGCGTTGTGACTGCTGTAAGAATTTTTTTCAGAACGGTACACTTTTCGTTTCGTCATTACCAAGAAAGTTTTTAAAATCTGTAAATCGCTTACATGTACGTCCAAGGGAGTGGTATATCTTTGCGAATGTTTGGCTTGTGGTTTGCAAGGTGTTGGTTCTACTTTTAATTTTAAGGCACGCCTTGCGAACTACAAGTCACACATTAAGCATAGGCACAGAACTTGTAGTATTGTTAATCACTTCCTGGATTGCCACGGGGCTGATCATTCATATTTGAAATTAAATTTATGCTGATTGACTAGCGTTGTGGTAATCTGTTGGAACGTGAAAACTTCTGGATTGAGACCCTTTTGACTAATCGGGGAGGGTTAAATGATAGTCATAATTTTGTGCAACAGTGACTTCTTTGTTTATCACTAAGCTTAATTAGTTATCTCAATTGTAAAATTTGCATATTATTGGTGTATATATATATAGGTTAGAAATTATTAGTAATATTATTTCTGAGGAAGGCTGAGACATTCAGTCGAAAACTAAACTTTATTACTTGAGTATTTTTAGTATTGGTTTCTCCCGAATCGTAGCCAGCTATTCTGTTGTATATATATATATATATATATATATATATATATATATATATATATATA